ACCAGTCATTTCACTAGAACATCTTCATCGTCCCATGAAGAAACTCCATACCATGGGCAATCACTCCCATTCCCCCTCCCTCCAACCCCTGGCACCACTCATCTACTTTCTGTCTCTATGGATTTGCCTATTCTAGGCATTTCACTTAAATGGATTTATACCTATGTGGCCTTTATGACTGGCATCCTTCACTTAGTGTAATCTTTTTTAAAATATATATTTTTACTTATTTCAGAGAGGAAGGAAGAGGGAGAGAGAGATAGAAACATCAATGTTGAGAGAGAATTATTGATCAGCTGCCTCCTGCACGGCCCCTCTTGGGGATCGAGCCCACAACCTGGGCATGTGCCCTTGACCGGAATCGAACCCGGGACCCTTCAGTCCAATGTTCTATCCACTGAGCCAAACCAGCTAGGGCAGTGTAATCTTTTTAAGATTCATCCACGTTGTAGAAATATTTCATTTCTTTATAGGACTAAACAATACTCTGTTATATAAATGTACCATATTTTGTTTATTCATTCGTCAGTTGATGGACATTTGGGGTTTTTCCAATTTTTGGTTATTATAAATAATATTATCCTGCTTTGAACATTCATGTAAGAGTTTTTGTGTGGACATGTTTCTAATTCTCCTGGCTACATACCCAGGAATGGCATTGCTGGGTCACATGGTAACTCTATGTTTAACACTTTGAGGAACTACCAATCTGTTTTCTTTTTTAAAAAATATTTTTATTGATTGATTTCAGAGAGGAAGGGAGAGGGAGAGAGAGATAAAAACATCAATGATGAGAGAAAATCATTGGTTGGCTGCCTCCTGCATGCCCTCTACTAGGGATCGAGCCCACAACCCAGGCATGTGCCCTAACTAGGAATAGAACCGTGACCTCCTGGTTCATAGGTCGACCCTCAACCACTGAGCCACACCAGCCGAGCCCAATCTGTTTTCCAGCATTGCTTCAGCATTTTATAATCCATCAGGAATGTACACAGATTCCCATTTCTCCATCTCTTTGACAACGTCTGCTATTGTCTGCTTTTACTTTAGGCATCTTGATGGGTACGAAGTGGTATTTCATTGTGGTTTGGTCTGCATTTCCCCGATGACTAGTGAAGTTGAGCATCTCTGTGTGTTTGATAATTTGTGTGTGTCTTTGGAGAATGTCTATTTAAATCTTCTGCCCACTTTTTAACTGAGTTATTTGTCTTTTTATTGTTGAATTGTAAGTTCTTCATATATTCTGGACACAAGTCCCTCGTCAGATACGTGCTTTCTCCCAATCTGTGGGTTGTCTTTTCATTTTTTTGATGGCGTCCTTTGAAGCACAAAAGTTTTTAATTTTGATGAAGACCAATTTATCTAAGTTTTCTTTTGTAACTTGTGCTTCCGGTGTCATATCTAAGAAGCCATTGCCTAATCCAAAGTCACAAAGATTATACATGTGCTTTTAATAAGATTTTTATGATTTTTAGCTCTTACATTCTCTATGACCATTTGGGGTTAATTTTTGCAAACGGGATGAGGTAGGCGTCCAACTTCATTCTTTTGCATGTGGAAATCCAGTTGCCCCAGAACCTTTTGGTAAAAAGGCTTTCTTCCCTTTCCCACTGCCCCACTTAGTTGTCTGGGCACCCTTGCCAAAAACCCACTGAACATAAATGGAAGGCCTATGTCTGGACTCAATCTGTTGCATTGTTAGGTGTGTTTTCTAAGGGATTTTTTCTCCAGCTGTGCTACCAGGGGGCCCATCCTTCCCTGGAAGAGAGATGGGGCAATCTCTCAAGCAGACTGCATTTCCTGGGTCCGTCAGGCCTCATCACAGTGAGATCCTCCTGCAGGATCCAGGCCGCCTCCATTGTTTTGCTGGCAGCTGGGAGGTAGCTGACCAAATGAAGGACCTTATCTCTCTCCTGCCTCCTAAGGTTATTGTAAATATCAAATTAGATTACTTACACAAAAGAATTTAGAAAGGTCTGAAGTGCCATCCAAATGTAAGGTGTACTAGTATCCTTCTCATTACTGTGCCTCTCCATCAGGAATAAGACCTAAATATAGAGAAGTTACTTTCAACTTCCACTCGTTGGGATCAAGGTTGTGATGTCTGTATTGTTGCAAATTCCAAATGAGTGCGGTTTGGTGCGTCATGTCATCTTGAGGAGGCTGTGAGCTTGCCCTTGCCACCGGGGGATTGAATATCAATGTTGGCCATCCCTTCCTTCCACTCCCCCTTCCTTGAATGAGGGCCTTGTTTGTGCCAGACACTGTGCTAAGCTCACAGGCAGACACAGCCTCTATCCTCCTGAACTCACAGTTTAGCAGGGAAGCTGTATAATTCAACAGCCATTATGGTCAATGTGACCGTGACAGAGATGCAGGGTGACCCTCCAACCAGCCTTGGGATCAGTTCGCTCCAGGTAAACCAGGGGGTTTAGAGTATCTTCCAACCTCAAATTGCCTTTGCTCCTGTGAGGTCTCAAGGAGGCAGAGGCTGTCCCATGCTGAGCTCGGGCCCTAACCCAGATGTCCTGTAGCCACTGTCACGATGCCACACCGTGAGGCCTGAGAATGGGCCGGCAGGACTGAACAAGGGCTCCGCCATCCTCCCAGGCTCAGTTCTCAGGAGCCCGTCAGAGGCAGGGCCCCAGCTGAAACCTCCTCCATCTGCCTTCTGCAGCGTTTCTTTGCTGATAGCAGAGAAGGGCTCCCTGGTTACAAATGGAACCTCAGACTTCTTCCTCTCTACCCATCCCCCAGCCCTGGCCCCCCAGGACCACTCCCCCAAGGCCTGAAGGGGTGCCACTCTCAAAATCCCTCCCTCCAGTCTCCACCGGTGGACAGACTGCTCCGTCCAGAAGACAGAAGTTCACGTGCATGGATGACCCTTGGCCTTAAAGCCTGGAAAACCAAGCTGCCAGGACCACCGGAGAGCTGGGTGGCTCCAAGGAGAAGAGCCCGGGCCACTGCCTCACCCTCAGCCTGGTCCTCACCCTCACTAGGGCCACTCTGATCAGGGGTGTCCACTGGCCAGCACTGAAGTACACTGTTGTCCCTTGGTGAGAGGAAAAGCCACAGGACCCCAGCTTTCCTCCCCCCTTCCTCCTCTCTCCCCTCCACTGTGGCTACTGGCAACACCCTGCCTTCCCCACTCCTGGGGCTGGGGCAGCCCTTTCCTCTTCTGCCCACCTTCCTCCCCCCTCCTACCCCCGTCTGCTACACAATTCTCCCTGGTACCATGTCACCTGACAACTCAGTATGACCTCGGGTCTACTCAAGTCGCACAGCCTCCTGCACACACTCCATACGCCGAGCCGAGCGTGACACGTGAGCTCGTGTGTCCCTCCGAGCCCCAGGCTCCACACCACCTACAGACACCAGGAGTCAGGAGCCTCCCAGAGGCCCCAAGCAGCGAATGGGTTGGGGACTCCAAGCAGGTGACCCTGGCCCCTCTGCCCAGCCTCTACTACTTTCACAGAACCCTCCACATCCTTGGGGGGTCCGCTGGGGTGTAGGGTCCTCCGACCTCTGGGGACAGACACCATGGTGCTAAGGAGTTAGGGGAGGCCCCTCAGCCTCCACTACCACCTCAAAAGGATTCCACTCTCCCCCCTTCCCCGATGCTTGTCACCTAAAGGGACACGCGGATGAGACAGGGAAAGACTGATGTCGAGTGTGGTAACGAGGTGACTTGGTTTTTTCAACTGTCAAGCCAAGGGCTGTTCTCTGCCTAGGCTCCTCTTTGTAGCTGTCAAAGGCTGCCTCTGGGGGGCTGCTTCTGCAGGAGCCACGGGCAGCTGTGTCCCCAATAGGAAGAGGCAGGTGTGCCAGCACCCCTGTGCCTCTCTGCCCGCCTCCCAGGACAGCTCCCTATTCTCCCCCCATTTCCCACCAGCCCCCCACCCCGGGGTGTG